TGTCTGAAAATCTACAAAAGGAGTTCATTCTGAGTACTTTACCCCCTGGAAGAGTATTGTCTATGTAGGTCCACGACATCGTATATATCCCCCTTATAACGGTACCTCCCTATATTCGGTATTTTGATGATTTTGGCTACATTTTTCTGTGGAATTGTTTGAAAATCTCACTCAGTACTCAGACTTTACCCCCTGTCTACATAGGTCCCCTATATCGTATATCCCCCTTATAACGGTACTCCCGAAATTCGGTAATTTGATGGTTTTGTTTACATTTTTCTATGGAATTGTCTGAATATCCACATAAGAAGTTCTTTCTAAGTATTTTACCCCCAGGAAGGGAATTGTCTTTATAGGTCCACGATATCGTATACCCCCGATATTCGATATTTTTACGATTTTAGGGACATTATTCACCGGAGTTGTTTCAAGTTTCATATTTAAAGTTCGTAATGGGAACTACAGCCTATGACAAAAAATATCGTAAGCAGGCCCACGTCTTCGTACCGGTACGGTAACGGTACCTCCCAATATTCGGTATTTTGATGATTTTAGCAACATTATTCACCGGAGTTGTTTCTAATTTCGTATTTAGGGTTCGTCATGGGAACTACAGTCTATGATAGAAAATTGTCTATGCAGGTCTAGGTCTTCGTATTGGCCCCATATATCAGTTCCTCCCTATATTCGGTATTTTGTTTGAAAATTGGTATTTGAAGTTCATAATAGGTACTACAGCCTGTCACAGAAAATTGTCTATGCAGGTCCAGGTCTTCGTATAGCCCCGATATAACGTTACCTCCCTATATTCGGTATTTTGATTTGAATAATGTTTTGTATTTGAATAATGGCTTATGGCAAAAATTTCCTATGTAGGTCCACGTCTTCGTATAGACCCCAATATAACGGCTATATTCGGTATTTTTTAGACCCCAATATAACGGCTAAATTCGGTATTTTTAAGATTTGAACAGAATTGTTAAGAAATTTAATTTTTTCAAATTATCCAAATTCATTGCAAATGGTGGAGGGTATTTAAAGTTCGGTCCGACCGAACTTACTGCTCTTTTCTTGTTAAAACTCATTTCTGGAAACGTATGTATATTTAACCAAGGCGGATTGCATTCTCTACTGTGGCACTTCCAAGTACATTTCACATCTGGCTGTAGCACCTTAAAATCTATGGAAAAGATAACAAATGTTTCCTTTCGTTGCGATTTGGATTTTGTTTTTAATTTTTCATTAGAATTATTTACTCAATTTGTTTTCTTTGTTAGTATTTGGTATTTTAGGTTTGTTTCTTTTTTTTATCAAAAATGATCACAATATTTATAATTTAAAAATTTAATAACAACATTTGTTTATATTTGTTTTTTTGATGTTTTAATGACATTTTTTTAGATTTTTAACAATTTAAAAATAAAAATATTTCAAATTAACAATTTAGTAATTTTTTTCAATTGATTGATTGGATGCTTGCCTGGCTAAGATTGGAGTTATTTATCTGTTAATGGGATTTTATGCTTTTCATATTTTCTTGTGGAATTTGTAAATTTTATTTATTTTAGAATCTGTACAGGAGTTGTTTCTTTTTTTTTTTGGAGTTAAGGACAGTTTTCGGTATTTTGTCTAGTGGATTTTTTTTACTAATTTTCAGCAAGCTTCCATTCTTTGGTTTCTCTGTTGTCTTTGGTGGCTTTAAAGTTTTTTATAACTTAGTTTTTTTGTTGTTGTTGTTGGTTGGTTGTTTTTTTTTGTTTTCTTAATACGAAAAGGTGGTTTGCTTTGCTTCATTTGGTTTGTTCCTTTGGTATTTTACTTTTCTTGTTTTTTTTTTAATAATTATAAAAAATTTTTTGAAATTTTATTAATTTTTTTTTTGTTTTTGGTTTGCTATCAAAAAACTTTAAAGCTCGTTTTACTGCTCTCTGCTTCTTTCCTTGTGTTTTGCTAGTTACTTCGTTTCACTTTTTATCGTTCGTTCTACCATTAAACTATTTTGATTTTTCGGTGTTTTACATGTTTTTTAGTTTGGCATTCAATTCACACCACCTGGTAATTCTTAGAATTTGGTTTCCAAAATGTTTTTTTTGTTTGTTTTTTGTTCTCTATTCTCACATTTATTTTATAACTATATACACAATAAATATTATAGGCTTATCAATTAAATATTAGTTTTCGTTTGGTTTGTATTTCAAAAAAATTTTTTTTACCAATGTCGAGGTGGAAGAAAGGTTTGGGAGGAAAGGGGGGCAATTAAATAAATTCTTTAAAAAAAAAAAATAAATAAATATTTGGAAATATACTTCGATCTGGGTTTAATCCAGGTTAAGAGAGTGCCCTAGGTGGCACTTGATTTAAAATTACTGTGCTTATGAAAATATAAAATATCAAGTAGACTATGAATTTTTAGTTTATGTGGGGTACCCACATAGTGTTGTAGGGTACCCACAAATTATATTTCGAAAGGGTTTCGGAATTTTTAAAAATATGTTTTTATATTCATGGTTTCTTGAAAAGTTATGAGGCCAACAATTGTTTGAAAAATACAGTTTTTAAGGAACCTCATATAATTTTGAAGGATGTAAAAGTCAACAATTGTGTATTTCATAAATATAATTTTTGATCGATTTTAAAGCCAACAATTTTTTTGAAGATTTTTCAATGGACATTTTTAAATGACTTTCAGCATAACTGTCGAGATATTATAAAATATTCCAAAAGACTTCTACTCATAGTTCAGTACACCAGTTCCTAAGAGTATGAGTTATTTCATAAATTTCATATCACTCATACGCACATGTGTCCACGAAATTAGATAAGGAAATAATTCCATTGAACTAAATTTATCCAACTCAAGCTTCTAGGGCTGTAACTCCTCATACGAGGAGTGTCGTGCCAATTTTTTTTAAAATTATTTTAAAAGGACTTTTGGCTTAACAATCGTCTTTGTAGAACTCTTTTTCGAAGAAAAACATTTTTTGGCGGAGTTGAGCTAAAAATCTTGACTTTTGAGTTTTTGGGGTACATTTTTTTTGAAAAATTTTAATTAAATAGTTTTGTAGGACACACAGGTCAAAATTCTTTAATATTTTGAAATCGAGGATTTTTTTGATGAAAGTTAAAATTATTGCGACTGAAGCCCGTGGTAGATATTTTAAGAATTTTTTTTGGATTTTGAGGTAAATTTTTATTATAGTTTTGGAAGATCCTAACAGTCTGGAATTTTATTAAATATTTATAAAGGACTCTCAGGCCATTAATCTTTGATTTTTTAGAAATAATCTTTAAAGAATTTTTCAAGAATATTTTTTTGAAGTGCTCTACACCACATAGTGGTAAGGGTATTATGTCTTTGTGCATTTGTTTGTAACATGGAGAAGGAAACGAGATGGACCCTTTTGGTATTCAGCATAGAATCACATTTTGAGTCGATTTATGCATGTCCGTCTGTCTGTCCATGTATTTTTGTAAACAAAATGCAGGTCGCGTTTATTATTCAATTGAAATTAAATTTTCTAAATAACATTTGTTTGGCTCAAGGACGAACTCTATTGAAATTGGTGAAAATCGGTCCAAATTTAGATATAGCTCCCATATATATCTTCATCCGATTTTAGGTTTCTTGTGCACCAAACGTCTAATATTAGTCCAATTAGAGTGAATTTTGCTACATCCGACCGAATTCGACTTACAAGCATGTGCTTCAAATTTGGGGAAAATCGGTTCAGATATAGCTATAGCTCCCTTATATATGTTTTATCCGATTTGGTGTTCCCTCACATTCGTAATATACACCCCACAAAAATTATATTTAGTATCAGATATTAGATTCAGCCCAGCAATTAATGATTCAAAATTTATCAAGATAGGTTCAGGTTAGGATATAGCTTCCCTATCTATCTTCATCCGATTTTAGGTTTCTTGTGCACCACATGGCTAATATCAGTCCAAATAGTGTGAATTTTGCTACATCCGACTGAATTCGGCATACAAGCATGTGCTTCAAATTCATCGGAAATCGGTTCAGATATAGCTATAGCTCCCATATATATTTTTCATCCGATTTGGTGTCTAATATCGTAATATACACCCCACAAAAATGATATTTAAAACCAGATATTAGATTCAGCCCAGCAATACATGATTTAAATTTTATCAAGATCGGTTCAGGTTTGGATATAGCTCCCCTTTATATCTTCGTCCGATTTTAGGTTTCTTGTGCACCAAATGGCTAATTTCAGCCCAAAGTGAGTGAAATTTTGCGCTTCCGAGCGAATTCATTCTAGAAGTTAACATTTAAAACTCGTTTCAGACATAGCTCTAGCTCCATATATATGTTTCATCCGATTTGGTGTTTACATCTCCAACTTTCGGAATATGCCCTCTACCATAATCATTTTTGTACCAGATATCTCATACAGCTCAGAAATGCCCAATGTAAGCCTTTCTTTTACGAGAGCTCTACTAAATAAGCATAGTGGTGTAGGGTATCATATAGTCGGCCCGCCCGACTTTTAAGCTTTTCTTACTGGTTTAATATAAATTTTTGGGAACTGGGCTCTGAATATGTCATTGATTTTGAGGTCAAAATTTTAATAATTTTTCGAAGGGGTTTCAGAGTTTTTAACAACATATTTTTAAGAGGTCGAAGACCATTGTCGGGTCAAATTTTTAAAAATTATTTTAAAAGGACTTTTGGCTTAACAATCGTTTTAAAGAATGAGTTTGTAGGAAGGACTCAGAATCTTCCACTGAAATTGGCCATATTTATGACCGTTCGAACCATAATTTGAAAATTAAAAAAAAAAAATATGAAAAAAATCGATGTAGCAGAAAATTTGACTGTGACCAAACTATTGTTTTGATATATTCTAAAAAAGAACTCCTTTCCCCCCAAAAGAAATTCTTCTTCCACCCGACATTGGCGTTTGTTGTAGTTACCATTTTCGATTTGTTGTTGTTAGTTTTGTTTCTCCTTTTTTTTTGTTATGTTTTAGTTTACTTAAATTTTAATACGTTCATTGTTAACTTACAAATATGGCACACAAAATGTTGCTTGATTTATGATGTGATGTTTTCCTTACACGTCGTTCACATGGCATCCTTAGGAAGGAATTTCTTTTTCAAATTTTTCTCTCTTAAATTTGATAGTTCAGCAGCAGTATTTTCATGACTTTCCCAAAAAATTTAGTTCTTCATTTTTTCTTAGTTGGTTTGTTGTTAATAATGCTACTGCTAGTTTGAAAAAAATACCTTGTTGTTCTTTTTTTCTCTACAGCTGCTAGGATACAGCCTGTCTTGTGCATAAGACGTTAGATGACAGAAGGTTACTGTTCTGTTTTTTGGTCTTGAGTTCTTGATGTTGTTGTTGACTCCTTAGAGAACAGTTTCCATTTCCGCTATTTCCGTTTTATATGACCTAAAGTAGGAAGGAAGGAATTTTTGAAGAGGAAAAAAACAAAAAATAAAAAAAGCAAAACAATAGAAAAATTTAATTATTAATAATGTTATGGATTTGTTGGTTGGGTATTACAACAATTTTTGATTAAATTTTAGAAAACATTTATTGGATATATTGGTTGGTGTGTGTCTGTGTGTGTTTGGATCTTTGTGTATGTGTAATTAAATTGAATTTTATCTTGTTATTATATTTTATGTGTGTGTGTTTGTGTGGCCACACATCCTTTTTGTTTTTTTTTTTTGGTTGGAACATAACATTGTTAAGTCATCCATGTGATTGATGATGTCTGATGATGTAAGGACTTGATTGCTATTTGAATTCGTTTCTCTGTTGTTTGTTTCTAGATTCCAATTTAGGGGATTTCTTGCCTTGCAAACACTGGAATGTGGTTAGTATTAGTGGTGGTGGCGGTCAAAGTGGTGTTGGTGATATCAATGGCGTGAGTGATTGAACGTGTTTGGTCTTGCCGGGTTCATTCAAGCCATACATATATGTATTCATTTCATTTAAGCCTGAAATTGTCCATTTGCCATAAAAACACACACACATACACATATTTCATTGTAGAGAGGGAGAAAAAAACTTTTCCTATTAATTACAACAGCAACAAATAATAGCATGAAAAAATAACAACAAAATCCTGTAAATCAATCAATCCTTTTGTGGGCAAATCATTAAGGACCACAGCTGAAATTTATTCTTTTGTTGGACAACAAATTTGCTATTTTATTACAATTTTATTCACACATAAAGAGAGAGAAAGAGAGCGAGTAATTTGTTGTTTGGTTGTTTTTTTTTTTGCTTTTTCATTCCCATCCCCATTCTCTTTCCCACAGGCCTAATGATTTATGTCAATGTTCATTGGAAAAAATGAACAAAATATGTACTTAATGTGCCGCTCAAAAAAAAAAAAAAAAAAAAAAAAAAAAAAGCGGAGAAAAAAAGCGTAACAAATTATATTTGGCAAAGTTTTTGACTAATGTTGCCCAAAATTTATTTGTTTTCAAAACGCCTTAAGATTAACATTTTCTTGAAATAAATGACCATTTGGGGACCATTTTTAATGAAACAAAATTTGGCAAAAAAAACAAGAAACAATGGCAGGCCTAATTTACAAGCGAGTTGAGAAGAAGAAGATTAGAGGTGAATAAAATTTATTAACATAATTACGAATTCAACGAGGTCAAGAATGAAGGTTAAAAACTTTACGACCTTTGGAAATCTATTGAATGGTCTTATTTCGTTCGTTCTTTTTTCTTGTAAAGGTAGATTAAACAAGTAAGCAAAGACTACAGTCGAGCGGGGCCGACCGTTGAATACCCTACAACACTATAATAAACGATACAGTTTATATAGGCGAGATACTCGAAAGAATTCTACAAGATATTGTGACAAATAATAAAAGAAAACCATCAGGTTTCGTTCTCTAATTTTCGAATAATAGCAACTTAAACTAATTTGCTCATTTCCAATTTATTGGTAGATGTTGCACTTAAATGGTCTTCCTAGATCTGGAACCAATCTTTCCCAAAGACCTATAATCTCTAAGAAGTGGCAAAAGATTAACAATTAGTATTGGTTTTTGACTGAAACGCATCTATATGAGATACAGACATTTGACTATATTCTTCAACGAAATCAGCGTTAACGAAATAGTCAGAAGTGCGTCTTTCCTGTATTTGTGAATTCTCGAAAAAGTCTCTGGAATGGACATTTTCGTATTTTGTCTACAAAAGTTGGCAAACTATTTCACACATTGAATATTTTTGGGTGGCCATCCAAAACTGCTTGGCTTTTGCAATGTCCGGTAACCAACTTTCAAATGTGCGTGAGGATCGGGCGATAATTACGACCTGCCGACAATTTTGCAGTTTTTTGGTCCATTTCAACCCCTGAATATATGGGGATCATCTCCAAAAAGAGTAGGCTTCTATTCTGACCCTCATCTTATCTCCATGCAAAATTTCGTAAGGATCGGGCCATAAATGCGATCTGTATATGATATCCTGATATCCTAAATACTTAGTTTTGTTAGCTGTAGAAATATTACCAAATGTTTAATTCAAAATTTATTCAAAATGAAAATATGCCAAAAATATGACAACATTGAAAAAATATGAGAAAATTTTACAAAATCAATATTTTCATCTTTAGAGAGATATTTTTATGCGATTTTTTTAGACGTTTTTTGTTTCCTGCCAAGAGGCCATTCTGAATTAATGAGAACTGTCGAAATCAGTTCAGCCGTTCTCGACATATAAGAGATCTTTCAAGCATATCTTCTTTGATAAACATATATATCGCACATATTTTGCTATATATCCGATTTGTTGGATATTAACATCAATGTAAAGGTCAGAAGTAACCTTGTCATGGCTTTGTGATTTCGCCGGGATTTAAAATATTCGCGGTTTAATGAAAAATTTTGATTTTTTTCAACACAAAAGATATGATCTACTTTTACCCGCTAAATATTATCCGATGACCACCCAAATTAGTAGGCTTCTTCTCCGCCCTAAACTCTATCTACATGCGAAATTTCGATTGGTCTATAATTGCGACCTGTATAGCTACTGCAAAATCCGACATTTTTTCAGTATTTGGTCCATTTCAACCACTAAACATTTGGCGATCATCTCCATTCTGACCCAAACCCCACCTTCGTGCAAAATTTCGTAAGGATCGGGCCATAATTGCGACCTGTAGCGTGATAAGAAATTAACATGGGCAGACGGACAGACGGACGGACGGACATACATAGCTAGATCGACTCAGCTCCGCGAGCTAGGAAGATCCATATATACTTTCCTATGTGGGAAACCAATATTTCGTGGTGTTACATAATTTTTGGCCCAATCAAACTTATAATACCCCCAACACATAGTGTTGTAGGGTATAAAAAGAAGCCCTAAATTGTTTCAAAAATTATGTATAGAAGTTGACAAAGTGCTACGATTTTATGAAATTATTTCCAAGGACTGTTTGGATAATATCGTGGATATTTTCAATTATTAAAATTCATGGTATTTTTTTAAATCGTGAATTACATAGGAAATTTAAGGTGCTCCTGAGTAAAACTCGTGAGATTTAAAGAAAAAAATTGTTACGGCTTCTTGATCAAAATTAGTGAATTATTAAAAACAAACAAATAAAAAAGGCATCTAAGTTCAGCCGTGCAATCATTTACCATACCTACACCATTTGGAAGGAACTTGCACAATTATGAAAATGGAAACCTTTATATGGGGGCTATATGAAGCCGAGGACTTGCATAGGCGAAATTTAAAACAATTCCGTTGATTATTATATCGCTAATATCATCAAAATACCGAAAAAAGGAGGTACCGTTTTAAAGGGGCGAAGTCGTGGACCTATGACATTAATTTTTTGTCATAGGTTGTAGTACCCATTAAGATCTTTTGATACAAAATTTGAAATAATTCCGGTCCATAATGTCATAACCTGCCTACTGGCAAAGTACACATGTGTGCAACATTTCCTTCCTTTGAAACCTTATATTGAAGGCCGGCTTTCTATGGGTGGCAACCTTTTATTAAAGGCCGGCATTCTGCAGATGGAAACTTTTTATTAAAAGTTGTCCTTCTATGGGTTTGAAACATCTATAGGCGGAAACCTTCTATAGGTGGGAACCTAATATTGAAAGTTGTCCTTCTATAGGTGGCAAACTGGGAAACATCTATAAGTGGGAACCTTCTAAAGGTAGGAACCTTTTTTGAAGGCCGGTCTTCTATAGGTGCGAAACTTCTATTGAAAGTTGAGCTTTTATAGGTGGGAACTTTCTATTGAAAGTTTTCCTTTTTTTTGGTGCAACCCTTCCTATAAAGGCCAACCTTCTATAGGTAAGAACTTTCTATTGAAGAAATGAGTTAGCGAATCTCAATATTGATTTCAAAACAATTTGAGAATAGTGTTCAAATAGCACAGAAAGTTCTAAAAAAAAAAAAAAACAATCACCATTACGAAATGTTTATATCATAATAATTATTACTAGTAAGTCAAATAATAGTTTTGAATTCTTTATATATCTTGAAAAGATAGAATAGAGTATTCTTTATATTTTCTTTGAAATCACAATATGCTATAAGACACTTTCTATTCATTCGAAGACGAAACAAAAAAATCTTTTTGTCTATCTTATCTAAGACCAAGTGCCATTCAAAGGATTTCAAAATTATATTTTAATTAAGAGTGGATGCTATAAAACCCATTTTAATTAACTAGAGGTATTATCCAAAACAGAAATCTCTAAAAACAAAACATAGGCTGGCTGGTGTTTTGATAAGCCAAAGAGAAGAAAAATCGCATACTACAACACATACATACACAATTCATTCATGTTTCTTGCCAAAGGGATATTAGAAGGTACCACAAATCCATACAACAAAAATTAATGTTTAATATATAAACAAGAATTCCCTCACACACACATACACACATTCTGCTCCGTAAATTCTTAATGTATGCAGATTCTCAGGCAGTGCATTACCTCCGCTCCGAGTAGGAATTTCTTCATTAATGTTTCATACAGAACCTAAATTGACAATTGTTTTGTTGTTTTAATTTGTCTCCCTCCATTCCCACTTCATTTTGCACAAATCAAAAAACAATTAAAAACAATCTCCACGAATAAAAACAAAAAGGTATTCAAGCGTACATCATGTATGAGTATGTGTGTGTGTGTGCGTGTGAGAGAGGGAGGAAAACAAAACGCCACCATTCTTAAGTTTTTCTTTTGTCCACAAAAAATAAAAGCCAACCAAGTTTTGTTTTCTCTGTTCGTGGGGATCTAAAACAAAAGCCTTTAATTCTAATGTTGGAATTCTCTCCGACAAGAGAAAAACAATAACAGAACTTCCTGCATGAGGGGAATGAAATAACAGGAAGAAGAAAATAAAACAACAAACCTACTGAACTTAAAAACACACCAGCCAGTAACT